GTGAAAGTTGCTGATACAACAATGAAATGAAAAGAAAATATAAAATGCATATTAGAAAGAGAAAACAAGGTAGGAGGTGACATTCAATTCTGGAATCATTCTTTGGCTGTGGGAAAAAATATAACAAGATTACTGATGATTTCCAAAGGACTCACTGAAAAACCAGCCTCTATCTCAGAGCAAAGCCTGTCCAAGGAAGGACAAGTCCTTTGTCCTTGGAAAGACCCACAGAGCACTCCTAAGCACATTCCCACCCTGCTAAGTTGTTTATCTACAAATAACAAGAGAGATCTGCTGCGCCAGGTGTCCCTGACTCAGTCAGGCTAGGTGGGGATCCATAGCAACCCCCTAGCAGCCACCAATCAGCATGAGACAGGGAAATACCTGGGATATCTGATGACCCTCCCAGTAGTTTATGGTGGTTGATAACATGTTGGGAAACCATGCAGTTCAGCACATACACCCCTCTTGGCTTAAACCAATCAGTTCAAATGAATACCCCTTTTGTACTGACCAATCACCCCTACCCAACTTGTTCCCACCAGTGAATGTGCTAATCATGTTTTAGAGTTGTTATTTGATTTTCCCGCAGTGTGTGATGATTTGCTAAGAGATGCTATGATGTATGTGAAGTCCCTGCCTTCTTCAAAAAATGTATAAAAATGCTGCAAACCCTGGGCTCTCAGCGTCACCAGTTGCTGTGTGTGTGCGCGGAGGACTGAGCTAGCTCACAATAAACACCTCTTTGCTTCTTACATCGATCTTGGGCCCCGGGGGGCCATGGGGGGTCCCGAATTCGAGCATAACACTCACAGCTTGAGCCCAGCCTCTCTCTTTTACAATTTCCACTCCCCTGAAGGTTTATCATACTTTTTGTGTGTGTGTCTTTTCTGCTTACATATTGATGTAGCATCACAGCATAACAACCACATATGTCCCATGAAAAGAAAGGCAGTATGCTTTACATAATCTGTCAAATTACAGGAAAAAAAATGCTTGATTTTAAGTATCTTTATTCCAAAACTTAGAAATTCCACTATCCAACTACTTCAAGCTGACTTTGAAATTCATGACTGTAATATTTTTGAAAATCAACAATTGGACATAAACCAGCTATAAAATATAGTTCTGATTTCCTTCCTGTAATTCTCTTTCACTTCATAGCAGCCAATTCTTGTTGTTTCTGCATAGATCCACATATTGTATTTTTAAAATGAATAAACATTTCTTGGATTGCAAACTTGACTATCAGTTTGTAGCTAAAAACACATAGACACATATGCTGTTATGGTTTAGATATTAAGTGTTCCCTAAAAGTTCATGTGTGAGAAAATGCAAGGAAGTTTAGATATGAAATGACTGGGTTATAAGAGATTTAACCTAATCAGTGCATTAATACACAGATAAGGATTAATTTCCTAACTGTAAGCAGGTAGGGTGTGGCTAGAGGACGTGGGTCCCTGGGAGCATACTTTTGGGGTTTACATTTGGTCCATGTTGAGAAGAGCTTTTTCTCTGCTAACAGGTGCCAGTTCTCAGTTGATTTCCTCTGCCTTCCTTTCAGAGATGACTTTTTTTTTTTTTTTGCCTTGCCTCAGGCCCAAAGGATGTCTTTGAATTAAGACCTGTGAAACCATGAGCCCCCAAATAACCTTTTTCTCCTTTAAAATTGTTCTTGTCAGGTCTTTTGGTCACAGTGGTGAAAAAAGCTAACTAAAACACATCCTCATAAATATCCAATGTTCTTTTAGTTAATTCTGTAAAATCTGAGTTTACTCGGAATAAAATTCTTTCAAATGAAAAGCTTTTAGGCTCTTGTATGCAATATAATCATCCTCAAAATAGGAGACTTGAAATTAAATTAAGCCAACTTAAAATGTAATTTATTTTTATTTTAATGTTTAGCATGACGTGCAAGAAAACAAAATGAAACTGAAGTGCAATTGAAATGTAAGCATTTGACTTTGGAGTAATCTTGGGTCAATCATTGTATTTTGAATTTATAGACTCTGTTTGTTCTAGGGACCTGTATTTAAAAACATTTAGGATTGTGTGTGTGTGTGTGTGTGTGTGTGTGTGTGTGTGCAAGCGCACACGTGAGTTATAATATATTTAAGCAAGTGTAACTTGTAGCCATATGCTTCACACAGGGATTATATCTTACAATGGATAGGGAAAAACAAATAAGATAAGGGCAGCTGGATTTCTATTTTTCTAACATCATTCACATAATTAATGTTATCCTTAATATCATTTACTTATTATTATAAATAATGTCTTTGAGCCAAACAATAACTATAGAACTGAATGGCAGAAAAGCAGAAAAATATAAATTGTTCACTAAACACACTTGAAACAAAATTGATTCCAGTAGAAAAATACGACTTACATTGAAATGTTTGAGAGGATTATTTTTAAGAGCTGATTATGATCCTGGTTGTATCACCCTGAATCCAGTTTTTCTCAGGAAAGTAGAAGTGGTTCTAGTTCATAACAGTATTTTTTTCCTTGAGAATTTCTCTTTCCAAGACATATGTCATCCTAAATTCTCTTATTTGTGAGTTGTTGAAGGCACGTGGTCAACACAAAGGCTTTAATTCCCAGAGAAAAAGAAGCTGTATCAAGTAGTAAAAAAGTCTAGTTCATTAATATTAAAAGAGATTGGGGTTTGCTTATGATGTGGTAATATTCATTCTCCAGTGAAAAACATTCCTTCCTTCACTTGGTAATTCCTTTTTTTTTCTATAAAATATGCATGGAATTACCAAAATGTACTTAAATTTTCAAGTATAAAAGTTATTATCAGCACAGTATAATTATTGTCACACCCTAACCATACTCCTCCGTATATTCAGGAAGTATACATGGTATGTCTAAGATAGTGACAACTAAAAACAGTGGATAGAATATTAGAAATATTTGTTATTTTGAATGCAAACAAATGTCTTGAAAGGAAGAATTCAAAATAATGTGTGATCATTAAAAATTAGAAAAGAAAAAAATCTTGAAAATATATCAATTTCAACCATAAAAAGAAAGGGAAATGTTAACTATAGGGCCACATGACACAACCTTATTTATTCTCCATTCGTAGATGTTTTCTATTCCCTTTCTTCCTCAACTCTCTTCTACTAATTTAGAAATTCTTAGGGTTTGTTTTACATCTCCTATAAAATGAGTTTCTTTTGCATTGTAATCACAAGACTTTTGTTTTTCTTTTACCTGGTACTGGTTTTTGTGACCCTCTAAAGCTTTACTACATAAACACAATTCTAACATTATGGTCATTTCACCTATTTTAAGATAGATAGATATATGTCTTGGGGAAATGGGGAATTGCTTTTTTGGCTCTGATTCTGTCTTACATATCATTAGATCTCCTTCATGTTGTTTGGCTAGCTGTTAATGATATTTCTGTCCACCTGAATAAACACTTTCAGTAAGTAACCACTTTTCACTGTATATTATCATGTTTTTGGACAGTCACCTCAGTGAGGTAGAGAAAGTAAATTTTCTAAACGAATCAGATCAAAATTTATTTATTCTTTGTTTCTTAAGTTTTCAACACATAGTTCTAGGAGAACAAGACCAAAAAAGAATGATAGATAGAAAAATAGAAAAACACAAGAGAAAGAGAGATAAAGAGATAAAGTTAGAGAAATAGACTCTCCTGTCTTCAAAACTACTCCTTAATTGCTTTGTTTCAGGTCTAAGAGCTTTGACTTTGTCTTTGAGGTGAATTGTTTTCCATCAAATTCTTTAGCTTTTCATGAAAGTAAATGAGTAGAGGAACTTCCTTATCAGATTTCTAGAAATATTACCACAAACCTGAATCTTTACAGATTAAATTTTGGCTCTATATTTAAAATTAAATGACAGGGCAACAGTAGGTTTTTGAAAAGAAGGAAGACAAGAAATATTATACACAGAAATATATAATAAAATAAAATATTAAGGAAAGTGAATCAACTGTATAACTTTCATACGAACCTTTTAAGGAATTAGAATGATTATACAGTTCATATCTGAAAGATGAAGAACAATTGTGATTAACTATCTTCATTTCTGGAATTTCTTCAGGGTTGCCATTGATATCTTTGTTCCACTGTCCCTTTTTCCTGGTCTAACCATTCACTATTCATGTCACAATTCAACTGATAGTCTCTAAATAGGGCATATGTTGACCTTTTCACTTTAGGATGTCTCATCATTCATATTTGCTAGTCGCCCTTAGACAGATATCATCTTTGATGAGAGACACTAATAGTATCCATTCTGAGTCTTGGCCTCACATATACTGGTAAAGTCTCTCACTTTCCTCAAAACCAACAGCCCATGTGAATTAAAAGTATTCTTGTAGCATTATCAAACTAAATATATGTAGATAAGTGTCAAACAGGTAAAAGAAGATATAGATCTATATCATATTATTATTGGAAGCTAAGTAATAAATGTTAGGTATTGAACATAAAATATTTTCAGCTACAATAACAAAAGGAAACCCAGACAAATTAAGTAAAGACAAAAGATTATAAATTAATATAATAAAATGAAATAAACAATACCTTTATGTAGTATTGCTGTATTTGATAAATATGAATGTAAGATGCCTAGTTAAATTCAAAATTCATATTAATAATATTTTAATGTAACAGGCTCAAAACATTTTGGACAATATTTTGTACATATATTTTTAAAAGTATTATTAACAAGAAACTATAATTTTATTAGATGTCTTATATTTTATATTGTAACCATTTTTTCACACTTTTGCAATCTTAGGAACAAATATAGTAAAAGATTTTTAACCTGTGATAAGGCAGAAATTACAAACTCATGAGATTTCTTAGACTTTCATCTTTGCCTTCTATATAAAGACAATTTCAGGGTTGCCATTTCAGTTATTCCCTCCTCCCACACTCTAAAGTGTACTATTTGGTTGCTAGGTTTCCATGTTCTGTGCACATTGTGATGTAGCCAAAAGAACTGTGGAAAAGGGATAAATGGAGAGGAAGCAGACAGAAGAAAAGGAGAAGAGCAGACTAGGCCTAGTGAAGCATATATTTTGGAGGAATTTGTACTAATGAGAATGAAGAGATAGGGTGAGTAATAGTGAAAGGGAAATTTTAAGGGGCTTAAGAACATCATAATCTACATACCATATTATAGTATTTAAGAAATTATTTTAAAATTCACTTTTTATATTGATTTGTCATTTTTTGATGGATATGCTATTCTGAGACTTCTTGATGTGTGTCAGGTGTTTAGTATGTTAACATAGACTGTGAACATGTGAACATTATTCATATTTAACTGTAACTTAGTATACCTCAATGAATCATTCTAATGGAGAAAATTATTAGATTTCATTTGTCACTAAAATTTTTGAGTAAAAAAAAAATTGAAAAAATATTCACAAGTGTAGAAGGGACAGATGTTAAGTCTCCTTGGCTGAAATGATTGGGATATAAATCATAAGGGATTCCCTGCTGTTCATAAGTTTGAGACTACTGAGGATATTGTTAACTTAGGCTGTTTTATCTGAGGTGAAGTTGTATATTGGAGAATTTATTATCAGAGAAAGATGAGGCACTCATATAAATAAGTTTTTACATGGTTGATGAGTCATTAATACAATTTTCTATTATTATTTTCAGTTTTATGAGAAGGGACACACTGTCTTCCTAGACCATGTAGACTCGAGACATAATATGATTGACTAGAATAAAAAGTAAAACTCCCCTCAACTTGAAGAGTAATCAAATATGATTTAGAAAATTCAAAATCAACTATTTTTATTTAAGTTAATTTTTTTCAAATGATATATAAAAGAGTATTATAAAAATTGTCCATAAAATTAACATGAGTTGTTTCAATTCATATATATAAACTAATGTTTAAATCAGAGTAAACATTTAATTCTTAAAATATTTCTCATTTCTTATGACAGAAACTTTAAAACTCCTTTCTTCTAGCTTTTTGAAAAGTGAACTACATTATCTATAGTCACCCTTCTGTGTCATGGCCCACCAGAACTTATTATTCATATTTAACTGTAACTTAGTACACCTTGATGAATCATTCTTCATCCCAGATATATTACTTCCCAGTCTCTGGAAACCACCACTCTACTCAAAACTTCAAAGAAATCAAATTTTAAGTTTGATATATGAGTGAGTTTTCTCTGTTCCTAGATTATTTCACTTGGCATAATCATCTTCACTTCTATCCACATTATCACAAATATCATGATTTTATATATTTTTATGACTGAATATTATTATATTTGGTACATATACTCTCTTTTCTTTATTTATTCAGAAGTTGTTTTCATTTCTTATCTATTGTGAATATGGTGCAATAAATATGAAAATTCAAATATCTCTTCAACAGACTTCTAGCTGATATGGTAGTTTCATTATTAACATTTGGAGGAACCGCCAAATTGACCTTACTAATTTACATTATCACCAACAGTGTCCAGGGCTTGCTTTTCTCCATATTCTTGCTAGCATCTTTTATCCCTAGTCCTCTTGATAATAGCCATCTTACAGGGGTGAGGTGATATCTCATTGTCATATTTTTTTGATTTGCATATCCTTGATGATTTTGAATATTTTCCACATACATATAGTTTATTTTTACAAAAGTCTGTTTAGGTAAAGTACTCATTTTATATTTTTTGCAATTGAGTTCTTGGTCTTCCTCATATAGCATATACTAAATCTTTGTGAGATGTATACTTTAAAAATAATTTATCCCATGTTTTATGTAGGTTGTCTCTTCACTCTATTGTTTGTTTTACTGAGCAGAAGATTTTTTGTTACCCATTCCTTCATCCTGATGTGTATCCTCTAGACTTTATTTATCAGTAATTTCACAGTTTCAGATCTTATGTTTTTGAATTTAATCCACTTTAAGTTTAGTTTTGTAGCTGGTAAGAGATAAGGATCTAGTTTGATTCTTCTACATGTGGACATCCAATTTTTCCATCAATTTATATTGAAAAGACTTTTTTCCTAATTTGTGCTTAGCAGTTTTGTAAAATATGTTGTGTGAGTTTAAGATACTTTGTTCTGTTCCATTGTTATATATGTCTTTAGTAATGTTAATGTAATGCTAGTAATGACATTCAGTTTTGATTACCACAACTGTGGAATATGTTTTGAAGTCAAGACATGTGATGAATACTTCCTTCTTTGTTATATTTGCTCAAGATATTTTTTGTAATTTAGGTCTACTTATTGTTCCATATAACTTTAGATTGCATTGTCTAGTTCTTCAAGGTATGTCATTGAAATTTGAGTAGAGATTGAATTCAACCTTAATATCATTTTAAGATTATGTATATTTTAATATTGTTGATTTTTCCACTCCATGACAGTGACACATGTTCTGTAATTGTTCAGTTCCTTCCATTCAATGTATCATCATGTTCATTGTAGAGATCCTTCACCACTTTGTTTAAACTTATGCACGCACATGCACCCCCCTTACACACACAATTTTGTGTATATGTGGTACTGAGCTTTGAACTCAGGGGTGCTCTAACATTAAGCTATATACTCAACCCTTTTTACATTTTATTTTGAGAAAGAATATTGCTAAATTGCTTAGGCTGTCCTCAATCTTATAATCCTTCTGCCTCAGCATCCCAAATTTCTGGAATTGCAGGTGTGTGCTACCATATCTGGCAATATTTTAGATATATTTGAAGATACTAAAAACAGGATTGCCTTAATATTTTCCATTTCAAATAATTTTTTACTATCATATAGCAACAGTGAAAATTTGATTTATTTTTAAACTCTGTATGCATCTCCTGAATCTCAACAGGACTTCCATAAAAAACTCTAAATCAGAGGAGAATATCTGAAAACACCAAACACCATATTAGATTACATAATTTTAACGTAGTGTTTTATGCAATAATCATTTAGAAAAAGGAACCTATATTTGTTAAGCAAAACAATATTGATTTTCTAAAGAAACCCTGAAATAATTATGTAAAAATATACACTATGTGTATTATAGAATTTTACATTTATAGGAATATAAAGAAACATATATAATTTTTACATGTATTTCTGCATATATACTTAATATAAATATTAAAATACACGTTCTATGTTAGAAAAAATACAAAAAACAGAAAATAAAAGAAAACAGCAGATTGTATTGTTTGAATAAACTCACATTCATTGCCTGAGTTATTAGAAAATGGTAAAGTAAGAAAAAAAAAACAGGTGAGTTTAAACTATTTGGAAACATAAACAATGAATTAAAATACAAAGATTAGGAGGTTTAACATAATACCTGACAGTTATTTGTACAACCCAAATGAAAGTTTATTTTTATTTGAGCACTAGTATCTGTAAATCCATAGTTGTCTGATGTGACTACATTGCAGAGGAAAAAAATAAACCTTTATATGTAATATACACATTAATGAAAAATCACTCATAATATAGTATAGCAGTATAAATATTTTTAATAGACATATAAATACATACAAAATAAATACAGGATATATATTAAGTCACTGCAGAATATGGAAGGGAATAAACAATCTCACAGTTACTCTGAGATATGAAAGCGTGAGACCCCATGGAAGAACAAAACAAAATATACATTTTTCTTGGGGAAAGAAGATGAAGGAGGTGACAACTCTACATAATTTTTCATAAAAATATTTTTACCTATTTTCAGGCTGCATCTGACAAGATCTAGATGACAATCAGTCACTTCAGTTCCCACCAGAAAACTGCATCTCAGCCTTACTGAGAAGCAGTCGGTCATTTCTCCAAATTTTGTGAGTTTGACTTGGTCATTTCACACATATTCTAAAACATAGACTATATTTATTGTCTTACCTTATTGGTAATTGTTAATATTGATATGTTTTGGTAGATATTATCACTAATTGCCAAACATGAAATGAAAAATCTCAGTAAAGTTCAGTAAGGTACCATAAATATGCTTGTGAAATTTTTGTGGAGTGTGAAGCTCAGAAAAAAAAAAAAGAAAGAAAGAACAAACATGTAGGCTAGAGGATCAAGATATGAATCTTGAGAAATAGTTTTTTAGAAGCAAATAAAAATGACATAAATTACATTATGATAGAATAAGCAAAATGGTGGCAAACTTTCATATGGTAACTGATGTGAAGGAATGGTATGATTTGTAGTGTATATAATTACATGACATTAGAATTCACTAAAGTTAATGATACATAATAAAACTTTACTGTAATTACCTTGAATAAAAATATAAAATTTGTTTGAAAAAAATTGTCACTGTTGCATTAATATCAAATTTTGGAAAATAACTAAGGACTAAATTGAAGACAAATATGAGCATAAAATAAAAATTCAACAGCAGTGCCACACAGAAAGAATGTTGAGTGAGTAGAGGAAAGAAAGCTTGTCAGAGGATTCAAGTTGTGGAGGTTCTCTGAGGAAATCTACAGCATGAAATAATGGTTTGTGTCAATATGAATCTTTGAATCCAGTTAACCTATTCATAAATTCTGCCTGTATTAGTTCATCAAAATCAGCAATGAGAAAGTAGTATTTTTTTAATTTTTGAAATGCCTGAAGATTTATTTTCAGTCTACTTGAATTTGCCTTTCTTCCCTGTTGTCTTGTATTAGAACCTGCTTTATCGATTTTCATGCCCTCATAAAAAAAAAAAAATCTCCCAAATGAGTTTGTACCAACTTCACTCATATTAGGCACATTGGGAACATGTAGTTTACAGAATTAGAATATTCTTTAGATGTTTGAGCAAGAAGAGGTCAGGAGAAAATAAATAGATAAGAGAAGTAAGAGAAAACAGGTAAGTAGAAACTTAGGTATGCAGGTAATAAGCTACTATCATCAGTAAAGCAATAATGAGATATTTCCAGCTTCACTAGGGCTGGGTCAGTGAGAATGAAAAGGAAATGGTGAATCTGGGAGATAAATTAACTAAATTTGAACTTAACTATTTTTTTACTCCCTTGTCTCCACTTATCATGTAATTAACAATTGTTCCTCTTTTAAGAAGCATTGTTTAAGAACAGGGAATTTAAAAAAGAAAATTCCAAGGGAAAAAATTTAAATTTTATCTCAAATATTCAAATATTTTTTAACATAGATCTTAAATTATGTGAATATATGTTTAGGAAATATTTAAGATCTATGTTAAAAAGTATTTGAATATTTGAGATAAATATTTCTTTTGCTTTAGTATCATTTTAATCTCCAAGGTCATAATTCAGATCTATCTTACTCAATAAAATTCTATTGGATTGTTCATCCCAAAAGGAATAGATAATAGGACTTCATAACCAAAACTATGTGTATTCTAATGTGTAAAGTGCATTGCTGAACTATCAAAAAGAGAGTTTAAGTTACTCATGATTTATGTAAATTCTATAATTAATGAGAAAACATATAACATAAATAAATGTCTTGCATTTTCTCACCACTTTTTTTCATTTTTATGTTTTTAGTAGTAGATGGACACAATGAATTTATTTATTTATTTTTGTGTGGTGGTGAAGATTGAACCCAGTGCTTCACATGTGCCAGGCAGGAGCTTCACTGCTGAGCTACAACCCCAGCCCTTCTTACCATTTTGACTTTCTCTTATTTAAATTTTTGTTTATGACTCTGATAAGATATTTATAGACATGAGAAAGCATAGGAATACAACATTCATATATTTTTCATCAAGAGTAAAGGACTGATTTCTTATGATGTGAAACATTCCCCAATTTAATACATCTTGTCTTCTTTCTCACAAATAGAATCCAGGATGACTTCTCCTGCTAAAGAAGGAAGTAATCCAGCTGACAACGCTCTGAAAATTTCTGAAAATGAGGCTCCAAATGACTGTAGTGCAGACATAGAGCCTTCATTTGCTAATCCCAGTATGATCTCTCAGGCGGAATCCAACCCAATGAACAGGGAGCCAAGCACATCAACCTCCCAGGAGGATGCTGTTCTTCTAACAGCGGAAAATATTGAGCTTGAAGCAGAAAAGATTCAAAAAGATTCTCAAAAGGAAGATGCATCACAAAACTCTCTTGTAGTTCGGATGCCTATTCCCAGAAAATTGATCTTTCTTATGTCAGGACTAGGGAGAATTACTCATCTGAGTATCCCACTGCTAAAAACTGATAAAGGCAACTTCTTAAGTGACAGACCAGTATTCTACCCAGGGAAAGTGGAGATAAAAGTGAATGATTTTTGTCACAATATCATAAATTACAAAATTCCTCTCCAACTTTCAATTCAATGGAGAATACCATTCATTAATAATCATGAGATAAGAGGAATGATTCTCCGTCTGCTGTGTGGGAGACATTTCTCTCAGACTGTAGGTCATCAAAATAGCATGTGGATGAAACAAAAATATATAGCATTCGTTCCTAGACCAAATGTCCTCACCCATGGTGAGAGAACCATAATATTTGGAAGGCCTTTGAGGGTGTACTACTATCGTTCCCTCATTGACCGAATGACATCAGGAAAATTTTACAAATCAAGTGATAAAGGGAGGGATGGGTTTCAAATATTTTTGAGGCCAGGGTTCTATATTCCACGGACCCAAATCCAAAGTACATCCAACAGAAAAATTTTTGAAAATCATTTGAGATCTCACCATAACATGAGAGTTGTTATCATAAGCATTGATAATGGATGGAAATATCTGTGTCCCATCTGTGGGTGTTGTTTCAGCAATTTTATTGAATTTAGACAGCATTCCTGCAGCTTTCCTGGGAACTAAACTGGGGTAAATTTATTTTAAAATTTAATTTCTAAAAATTTGTAATTTGACTACCAAATTGGAACAAAATTGCATGAACAAAAAAAAATCAGTATTATTAGATGGAGTTGCAGAAAGAAATACCAACTAAAAGGATATGTCAGTAAGAAACATCTTTGGAAAAAAACAAATGCCTTCATTTATTCTGGGCTATTATGAATAAATTTTCAAAATATCGAGACTGATTTGTATTATCATTTGAATCAAGACAATGTTTGCACTCCAATAACATCTACTTTTGCAAACTAACAGACTACTGATAAAGCAAAAATATATTGGATGACAAGACAATCTTATCAGGTGATCCTAAAAATTCTGCTGATTTCAATTTCTCCACTAATTCAATAAAAATCATTTAAAGACATTGAGAGTTGTGTTGTATTTTTCCAACTAGATATATTTTCCTACGCTGAGGAAAAAATCTGAAATTACTGAAAATATACCATATATATATGATAATTTTGATGATTTGACAAAAAAGATTCACTAAAAGAAAATAGCTTTTAAGAAATGAAATATTTTGACATAGAAATGAACAAGTCTTAAGTTGGCAACCAATAACTTTATAAACTTTATCCTCCACACCTTGAGTGACTTCTTAACCATTGCTCACAATTACCACCCAAAGTTTATTTTCCCTTTAAACACATAAGTACGAATCCCTACACGTATTAAGGGTGTTTTCTATTCTGCTGTATACAGTTTTAATATCTGTGATGCTTCTTTCCTTTTATCTGAAAACTCATAGGATTATAAATACACTATTTCTAAAACCATAATGTTTAAGTCCTAGTCTGTATAGGAATATATAATACACATAGAATATAGTATGACATCTGTAAAATAAAATACACTATATACATATAAAATATGTGATAAATTCCATTATAAATGCATTATATAATACAATTCAAAGTTATTGATCCACCATTATGCATAAAATCTCTGATAAATCATGTTATACAGTAGTTACTCTTTGCAATAATGTTAAATATAGATATTTTATGGTAAAATTAATTGCATAAAAACAGTTTCTAGGAGATTGAGTGGTTTTATCCCAGCCTCCACAATAAGTGCACGCTCTTATCATCAATAATAATGTAATATAGCTGGGATTTACATCAAAGATACACTTTTTGTATATTGTGCCTTAATAAGTATGTATTTCTACATAAAGTAGATTGTACTATTAATTTAATACATAGTTATACTGTATTACAGAGATTCTAAACTGTCATTAGAGGATACTTAAGCTACATCTATGGCAGGTCAGAATTTTTCATCTGGATGCAAACTTGCCACTTCCACATATTATTATTCAGCGTGAGTAATGAACTGAACAATTAAACTGATTCAAGAAATTTAAGCAACTAAAATCAAATGTTTCTCTATTATAGAAAATATACTCTTTAATTTTATAGTGGTTGCTTCTAAATATTAAGTACAGTTTTATAAAAATTAAGCCATCAGTTGGATATCAAAAATAAAATTGAAAAATAATATTGAATTTCTGACTTTATTTATCTGAGGACAAAACAAAAAACTATAATTATGTTTTAAAAAGTTACAGTTTGTCATTTCCATATACCAATGAAAGAATTCACATTTTATCTGGCAAAACTCCACCAATACTTGAAAAGATGATTTGAACACAGAAAAAAGTTGTTAAAATAGATATTATTCACATCTTCAATTAAAAAAATAGAAGCATCCATTAGTTTACATTTTTATAAATTATAAATCATTTTTTTATTAAGAAAGGATGAGGAAATCAGAAGAATGTACATCAATCAATCAGAGATACATGCTTCTCTAGTAACTCCCCTGAGAGTTTTTCACAATTACTATCATGGAATAAACAAGCTTATGCCTGAACAAAGAGATCAGTAATTCAGTCAAATGTCTAAAATGGTAGTGTTTTATGCTATTGAGACAATGTGAAGATTCCACCTTAAAGCCCTGTTGGGATCAAATCATAAAGACTTTGGACATGTCACTCATGTTTATTTGAATGAGTTTATTTGAAGGCATAAGAAAAGGGAAAGTGGCCACTCTCAAGAGAGAGAGTGGGACCTCTCACAGAGGAGAGACAACATGCCTCTTTTGTACTCCAGTTTTATTGGGGATTCCAGAGAACTTTCAAGAAAGTCCCTTCCAAGTTTTATATTTTGAGGGGTTTTTGCTTATTTTTAAAATTTATTTGTTCTAATCAGTTATAGATGACAGAAGAATGCTCTTTGAATCATTGTATACAAATGGAGCACAATTTTTCACTTCTCTGGTTGTACACGAAGTCGGGTTACATATTCTTGCAATCATACATGTACCTAGTGTAATGATGTCTGTCTCATTCCACCATCTTTTCTATCCCCTTACCTCATCCATCCCATCCCTCCCCTTTTCCCAAAGTACCTCCACTCATCCCATGTGCCTCCATTATAGATTAGCATCCACTTATGAGAGAACACATTCAGCCTTTTGGTATTTGGGATTGGTTTAGCATAATATTCTCCAATTCCATCCCTTTAGCTTCAAATACCATGATTTTATTTGTTTTTAATGTGAATAATATTCCATTGTGTGTGTGTGTGTGTGTGTGTGTGTGTGTGTGTGTGTATATATATATATATCACATTTTCTTTATCCATTAATCTATTGAAGGACATCTACTTGGTTCCACAGTTTAATTATTGTGAATTGTGCTGCTATAAATATTGATGTGGCTGTGTCCCTGTAGTATGCTGTTTTTAATTCCTTTGGATATAGACCAAGGAATGGGATAGCTTGGTCAAAATGTGATTCTATTCCAAGGTTTTTAGGGAATCTCCATATTACTTTCCAGATTGGTTGCACCAATTTGCAGTCCCACCAGCAATGTATCTTAGCCCATACTTATTGTTTCTTTTATTCTTGATAATTGTCATTCTGACTTGAGTGAGATGAAAACTTAGAAGACTTTTGATTTGTATTTCTCTAATTACTAGAGGACTTGAATACTTTTTCATATATTTTTTATCGATTGTATATCTTCTTCTGTTCAGTTATTTAACCTGTTTATTTATTTGTTTATGTTTTGGTGCTAAGTTTTTTGAGTTCTTATATATCCTGGACATTAGTGCTCTATCTGATGTGTGTGTGGTAAAAATTTGCTTCCATATTATAAGCTTTTTCTTTACCTCATTGATTGTTTCTTTTGCTGAGAAGTAGCTTTTTAGTTTGAATACTGCCCACTTATTAATTCTTAATTTTATTTCTTGCACTTTAGGAGTCTTGTAAAAGAAGTCGGGGCCTAATCCGATATGATGAAGATTTAGCCCTATTAATTGTGGGGTTTCTGGTCTAATTACTGTCTCTTAGCTTTTAAATGAAACAGGGTTTAATCAGTCTTTCATGTCCCCACTTATGTGACAACTCTAGGTCACCGAGCCTATGCTGACTGATTCTAGTTTTCTTTTTAATCATAAATTCTTACAGATTTTATAATTATGAGGAATTATACTTATCTCTGAGTTCAGGATCTGGTCTATGAAAAGCATCACAAAAGTTCCCCATTCATGGTGACTTGAGTTCCTCTTATCTACATTATTTTGGACTTGCTTTTCTCTTGCAGAAAACAGTTTGCTGATGAATGTGACATAGTCTGTTCACTTAGTCTAGGCTGGACTACAGATAAATTATTTCTTGGAAAAGAAAGGATATGGAGTTCAGCACACTAGATTTATAGAATTATTTCTCTTAACCTTGTGTTTTCACCATTCTAATCTGTCTGCTTCCTAAAATTTTCTAACTTTAAAAATTTATAAAGTAACATAATATGTCATAGGTCTACTTATTTTTCCTCCAACATGAAGGGAAAATAAATTTTATTAATTTCCTGTTCTGTTAATTTTCACAATATCTTTGCACATTTTTAAATCCATTGGTACATAACAGTTTTACTTTTTATATACAAAACAACTCACATCTAAAATAATAGCTTACATTTAACATGACTAATACAAAAACATTTATGTACTGAACACACAGTAAAATATCTTTTTAGAAGAAATAAAATTATAGAACTCTGAAGATGGCAGCCTTTCACCATTTTAATATTCTCCAAATTTACTAGTTAGAATTTTACACTACATATCATTTGAATAGTTTGTCATAATAAACTATTCTGTGTGGCTCATTTTCTTTTGGCTTCATAAGTGCATCACTTTTTTGTTGTTGTTGTTTGTTTGTTTTTACAAATTGTGTTTCAGACATATTTAGCCAGAGCAACTCCAAGTTTACATAAGAATCAAACTGCCTCACATATATGGTAGTGACTTTTCTCTAATATATAAAACATACTGCAAGAGTTAATTTAAAAACAGGGAAAATGTTCCAGGAAATCTTCTATAATCATGTCAAGTAACATTTGATTTTATTCTCTTTCTTAATAGGCATAGTTTGTGTCTGATGTATTAATTTTACATAAAAGTGAATCTGAGTAATTCATTTTGTCAATAAAAATAAAGAGACAATATAAGTGTCTCTGATGTATGATTTTAGATCTGTTCTTGTGTCAGAGTTTTGGAGAAAATGTCCACAAACTGTGTATTTACACACTAAAAACTGTATTTTTGTATATTTACTAAAAATAGACTTCAATTCTATTCAGACATTATTTAGTGCTCAAGTATGTAACATGTTATGATTTGAATGTAAGGTATCCCCTAAAGCTCCTATGCTAATGCAGAAATGTGAAAGCATTGGATTGTGAGAGCTGTAACCTAATCAGTTCTTCTGAATTTGAATGGATGGACTGGATATAAATGAAAGGCAGGTGGGCATGGTGAAGATGAATCACTAGGGGTTTTCCTGGAAGGAGACATCTTCCCTTTTGCCTAGTTTCACTTCTCTTTCTCTCTGCTTCTTGACCCTGCTATGAGCTGCCTGGCTTACCTCTACTGAGCCTTCCCTAAGGATGACCTGATTCACCTTAGGATCAGAGCAATGGAGTCAACCATGCATGGACTGAAACATAAGAAACTGTGAGCTCCAAGTTGAACGTCACCTCTTCTAAGTTGTTCTTGTCAGGTTTTGGTCTCAGTTATACAGAAACTAAAACAATATCACAATATATTAATATATTAAAATAAAATGAATTTAGCCCGTGGTTATTTAAAGTAAACTTAATCTTTTGTTAATTGGTTTAGTGATTGTATTAAAGTCAGCCCATAATTTCTATCACAAAGTTTGAACAACTGATATTATAAGTATTTATGATTTATTTCATCTAGTAACCAGCTAAGAAAAAATGAGTACTTATTGTGTCCTAAATTAATTATTATGATTATGTATGGATTTGAAACTGTGGCAGGCTTAAATAATAAGCATG